AATCTTTGTCATTTAATTAATAAGATTTAGATGAATGCGCTGAAAATTCCAATCCAGGAACAACACATTAATTAAGAGTCAAGACTTCAAAAGATGCTGTGCGATATTTAATGTCGGTCTATCTTTCAACACGACACACAGTGTTACTGCACATGATGCACGGCACAGTATGTACATGTTCTAATGTGAAATAAAGCCCAGCCATTTCTGGAATGTGTTCGCCCTTTGGCCAAGGATGAACTTTATGTTTCAAGTACATCTCAGGGGCTTATAAAACTGAGACTGCATCAGCTGGAGAGACGGCAGCCATATGCAACTAATCCCTCATCTGTGGAGTGTATAGGATTCACAGCCTCTGTTTGTATAACTAAGTGCATTTCATGATGGGATTACTTCTTTTCCTTGTAGTTTCCTGTTTAAAGTGTACCTGTACACTAGCCTGCCATCACCACACCAAGTTACATTTTCGTCGTGTTTCCAGGCTAAAGGTTTACATGAGAATCTTTACTTTCTGATCAGAGCCGCAGAGAACTGTGTTTTTTGCTGTCTCAAATATTGTAGCTCTAGTTACACCTGCACTCTTTTCATTAAATCACAGTTTTAGAGAAATTATACAACTCACACTAGTGGATATTTCCAGTGGATTTTTTTCTGTGTCTCCGGAGAATTGAGGAAAATTGACCAAGAACACACAAATAATTATTTGTAAAATGTAATGTTTGCTCAACCTGACCACCTCTTTTCATTTCCATACTCAGAATAACATGTGGATGCTCTCATCCATCATGCTTCCACAGGCTCTTAAACGGAGAGTATGCCCTTTGAGTTTCCAATAAAAATCAGAGGTTAATCGTGCTTCTTCTAAAATGCAAGGATGAGAATGAGCATAATCTCTATATTTACAGTGTGGATGAAAGGTTACAACCTTCTTGGTTTGAGTTAGGAGCAGAAATTAAGCATGAATCATTTCTTGGCATATTGAATTTTTGTACATTTTCAGTTTTGTGGTAATGATTCTTCTCTGTTGAACAGGGAGCTGAAAAAAGAATCCTCTGGGTCCCTGATTATAAATGTTGAGTATATTAAGGAACCTTTTCAGGTTCATAACAACATTTTTTATTCTATATTAAAGCTGACTGAGTTATTAAAGGACTTTAGTTGTCTTCTGGCTCCATTTGCAGCTTGTAATCTGTTAGAAAATGTCAACCGAATGTCTGCAACAGACAGGATATTTAAAGATCTGCTTCCTCTTAAATATCTTGTCTGTGGCCTCTGGGTTTAAAATACAACTCAGAGGTTTACCAGCAGCAGGTTGGGATCAGAGAGAGTGCGAGAGAGAGCTTTAAATCTGTACCGTTCATTTAGAGATCAGACACTCAGAGGATCAACTCAAAAATGTATCTGAAAAATAACCCTTTTAAATCTTCTTAAGATTTTTTTACACCATGCGACCTTGTATTTCCCCCCAGAACTGGTGCATAAAGTACATATATATATATATATATATATATACAGCACATGCTTACATACACAATATGTACATGAAACATATATATAAATATGAACACATCAATATTCCTAACTAAAAAGAAGTCAGGAACAATTTTTTCCCGCTGGAATTCAAATTTAGTGAGGGTTAGTGTCTCGTCCATTGTGCCACCTTGATTTCAGGTGATATATTTAACACAGGAGGCTTCCTATCACCTGTAGGGTCAATGCCACCTGTGGCAGAAAGAAGGCTATAAATAGCTATAAATAAGTATTAAGTTCATGCCGTTATGTTTAATGGACCATGATTCTACATCCTTGGATTTAAATCAAATGGGCAATCGAACATAATCTATATAACAGACGGGAGACACCTTTAACGTTGTCCACCCAACGGGGAGCAAATACTGTACAAGGCAATCAGAGCAGTACCCAGGACAGAACCTTGAGGAACACCCCAAAAAAAGTACCAAATGAGGAGACATATTTATCAACACCAACTAAAACATGAACAAGCTTCACTTCAAGTTAGCGTCCCACAGGCTGATACCCGAGAATCAAAAGTACACATTAAAATGTCTGCAGACTTTTGGCCACATAGCATATCCTGTCACCTCGTGCCAGTTGTTATGCTCATCTGTTTTGAAAAGTCGTGATTGCGTGTGACACCACCTGCTCCCACCACGCAGGACACTGTCATTGTTTCCACTGCTCTGCATTAACAATCTCATGATTAAACTTGTGGGCCAATCAGAATGGCAGAAGGCCTGGGATTACCGCCGCAACATCTGGGGAGCGCGCTAATGGACTGCATATGTTTTTAATGTTTAGATTTAGAAGTCAACATGTTGTTCTTAATTTCATCCGAGAGAGAGAGGGCGAGAGAGGTGGGTGGAGTTGGGAGGATAACTCTCTCTTTTAAAATAAGTAAATCACAACTGAGTGCAGCTGTCATCATTAACCAAAGTACCACTGACGACAAGAGACCCACCCAAACTGTGCGAGTGTCCCCGAGCACTTAAGAAAAACCAAATAGCCCCATCTGTCAATTTTACACTTAGCGATTCTTACTTAGCGCACAGAGCCCCTGTAAGTGTAATATGCTGTGGGGATTTTATAAAAACCAAATACACACGCCACAGACACAAACATAGTTATGCTCTCAGCCATGGTTTTTAATCCACGTTTTAGAGTAAAAGCCGGTAAAGGAAGAGTGTTTCAAGAGTCAGATGCAGGGCAGCAAGGCCACTTCAGGGCAACAGGAAACAAAAAGAACATTTTTGTGTTGCTTTGTTGCTCAGAAATATGCAGTTCCTCCTGAAAATCCATTTATGTGTGATGTCTGAGGGAAATATCTGATGTGTGAACAGTTTAACTCTTAGAAACCGGAGGGGTCCTAAAGGCTTCAGATCAGATATTTCAAAAGAGGATGATTTGTTTAATTCCAGTTACAAACAGATTTCTCCTCGAGTTCAATCTTACTGAAGTCAGAGATTCACCAACTTCCAGCCAAAGATAGGATCGGCCACCCGTCAGGGAAGTTTACAAGACAGTTTCTACAGTTACAGTTTCCAGGGGGTTTTGGTTGCGGTGAAAGAGAAATTGTGCAACAAGTGTCTAAAGTCAGTTTGGAATTTTACAAGCGAGCGCAGAATTTAATTTCTCTGAATTCTATACTGCAAACATGACGTTCAGTAAATGTAATCTTTAATAACATTTCACTCACTATCACAGTCGACTGAATTGTCTCCAGAAGTTTCACTCTTCATCACAATTATTATAAACTGTAAGGAGACGACATACACACATTTGGAGAGAAGCAACACAAAGATGTAACTTATTTTAAAAAGCACACAACTTTAGTGTGCCTTATCTGTACTGTGTACGATTTTGGCTCTAAATTACTGTTAAATAGAGCAAAAGAATAGTTGTTTCAACTCCTGTAACCTTTACTTTATACTCTATACTTTAATTTATATTAAAGTCCACAGTGATGGTGTAAGAACTCCCCTGATAATTACGATAAAATGTAATCAAACTCAAAAATAAGTCTTGTGATTATAAAGGATCATGTTTTGTGTATGAATGAACCTCAGCACCTTTCCACTGTGCATAGCATTAAAGATGTTTTTCTTTTTATTCCTAACATCTGTCATTACGTTGTGAAAAATAGATTATAGTGATTTTAAGGGGAAACTAATCCAGCACGAAAAACATCCTGTGGTGTAAAAAGCACAGTATGCTGGTGTATGTGCTGACGTCACGAAGCATACGTTGTTTGTGTGTTTATGAATTTGCGCATTTTACTGAATCCTGCTCAGATGACATCCAAAACAACAAAGGCTCACATTTCTGTGATCATTAGCGCCGTCAGCTCAGTGTCTCTTTCAGCCCCGCTGCTAATCCCTCAGTTCACACACTGTTGTAGAAGGGTATTTACGCACCAGTGGATCAGCGGTAATTCAGCAGGAGATCAAGCATAATAATAGGAATAATAATAATAACAATAATAAGGATGGAAGATGTTTTGCTGCTGAGTTTTAACGTAGGGGATGAGCACATCAAAAACAATACAGATGTGAGAGCCACACATCAAAGCAGCATAGACTCCTGTTTGGAAGACGGAGCAGAAAGTTTTGTTTGTGAAAAGTCTTCACACTCAAATATGCAAAATTCCTCTAGTGCAAAATCATCTTAGTTAGAATTCTTTTTTTAGTGTCCGTATGTAAACATACAAATATTTTCTTCATGCAAACTGAAATGAAGTCCTCCAAATTGGAAGAAATATTACTAATCAGAACTAAAAGTAATCAGAAATACTTTATTCCTGAGTTTGAGTTGTATATTTGGTTCAAAACACAATAGCATGTGACCTGTTTTAATCAGCTGCATGTGTATGAGTGTGTTATTGTCCTCGCCTCATGTGTGCGACTGTCTGTGCCTTGTGTATGTGATTCAGCTTAAGCCACCTCATCCTCATGTACACACACACACACACACACACACACACACACACACACAGTTGTCTTATAGAAAAAAAGACAGCTAATATTCGTTGTTATTTAAACAACAGAGCAGATAGGCAGCTGAACAATAATTATTTCCTGGAACAATAATTATTACCATTTAATTCTGTTGTTTACCATTTTGCCTGGTGGCCCCTCTTTAAACCTCAGCCTCTATCTATAATGGCGAGCCCTTGAGCAGAACTGCATTTAACACAAATATCAAATAATTAAAAATCAAATAATTGAAAAATACGTGTTTGGTTTTCGTGTGTGTTTGAACATTAATTGCCAGTGAAACCTGTGAGCTGCTTTGTCCCACAGGATGTTCCTGGTTGGGTTTTGGTATCAAATTTCATGTTTTTCCACATTGATTTAAAACATTCATGTTTTACATTGGCGGAGTAAACAGAAGCATACTTTGTTTATTCCATTTTTTTTCGTCAAAAAATGTAAAATATTTGTTAATCATTAAACAAGATTTTTTTTTTTTTKTCTGTTTTTCAGCCACATGCAAACAACAAATGGAGATCAACTCCATACAGTATAATCTGGCAGCGATCTCATACTCTCCTGTATGTTTGAGGGGATTACAAGCAGAATCACAGGATTACACAATTACAGCCTGTCTAGGATGAGGGGGCGATGCTGATGTGACACAAACACCAGGTACAAACACACGCATGCACACTCGTGTTGGGATTCAATGTCTTTCCTGACAGTGTAAATAAAGGTTTGTTGTTATTGTTGCTATATCGAGCTCCACCTGCCTCCATTTCTAAATTGATGTACTCACCTAGTTTTCCAACACACTGCTGCCTTAAATTTAAAACACTGTATAATTGACCTTTTAATAGTTTTTAGTTTGACTTCAAATGCACAATATGTCTTGTATGATTATCAGACTGTTTCAGCTGAGGTGAGACAACATTCACTCCACACTGCTCTAATGGGATGATCTCATGTTTAAACCAGAGGGTTTTTTTTACACATCCAAAGCCATTGCTGATTGATAAATGATGAGGTCATCAACACTGATGTCTTCCTCTGTTTAATTTCTGTAGAAAACTTATCCCCTTGTTCCTTTTATTCGCCCCCCATCCCTCCATTCCCTGCATCACTCTCTATGTTGCCTGGTGATTAAGCGGTAGATTAACCTCCAGTCCTCATTAATAATAGACAAATAGAAAAAGCCCTGGTTTGTCCACTTCCTGTCTGCAGCACTAATAGAGCCCTTAATGTTCACATTAACGCAGCTCTTGTAGACTCGAGATGGACGGACGAGTCAGAAACATGGACAAGTGGAAAGATGGAACACATAATCATCATAAAATCATACATCTGCATATAAACGTACATGCATATAAACTATGTGGCCAAACTAAGTGTCTGTCAGTCCCCTGTCCTCTGGGAAACATTTCTATAGTATTTTGGAACCGGTCTGCAGGGACTCTGTTGGATTAGGCTCAGCTCAGGACTCTGATCTCAGAATAAAAGTACTGAATGCAAAAGGGGTTTCCACATACTGTTTATCCACGTGACACAATAACTGGATCTAATCCAAGCTGCTGCTCTTGTTGCATGTAGAAGCAGTTTCAAGAATGCAGGACACAACCTCGCACCTCGTTACAGTCTTAGTCATAAATCCACCTCCTCCATGTTAGTGGTTGGTACATGGACCACACTTAGTTTGTTATGAATGAGTTATTTGTTGATATAGAAACAGGGTGAAGCGTTACGGTTGACAGCAGAGACTGACTCGCAATTGGTCGAGAGCATGTTTTGGGTAGAGCCTCAATCCCGTGGCTCCATTCCTTCATCACTACATCTCCGACTCTGGTTCCAAATAGGCAAGATGGTGGCGTCCCTTTCATATTCTAGAGATTTTGGACATGAAGAAGCGTTGTCCATCTTTATATTCAGTCTATACAGACTATGTTCCTGCCCCTCTTGTCTTTCTGACTTTGGTGATGAGGTTTGTTTGTCCTCTTTTGTAGAATAAATTCAACCTCAACCCATCAGTGTTTTATGTGTTTATTATGATAAGAGTGCTTTAAACAGGAAAACTTTCCACAAGAGCTCTTCCACAATGAGTACAAGGTTAATAACAATGAGAAACTGAGGTTTTTGTTTGGGCAAAAAAAAAAAAAAAAGCTCTCGCACACACACCGCGAGAAACTACCGACTAGAGGCCTTATGGGACGACATTTGTGGTAATTCATTCAGAATCCATTCTAACACATTGAGCGGGCCTAAGTGCCAATCTTCCTTTTTGGTGAGTTTCCATGATTTTATGTCCCATATAAAACGATGCAGTTAGCTCCACAATGGCCTATTTAAGTTACATTACTGCCGAATATTCCCCAGTAAAGAAAATTAAGCTGAAATACTGTGAGATCATCTCAGTTAGTTATCTTCTCCCCGTCGAGATGTGTCGCTTTGACACCCCGCGGAGAACTGAATGATTCTCTTGGACGAGGGATAATAGTCTTATACTGTGTGTTGCTTGCCTAAGATACCTCACACACACACACACACACACAAACTGCCTTTTTCATCTCTTTTCAAACCTGATCCTGAAAATGAAGTTATATTTTTCATTTTGCATGATGCTGTCGAGGAAGAAGCTGGAGAAGACTTGTACTCTAAATATGAGCGCTACAGTAACTTTTACCAAACCTTTTCCGAAGCAGATGAACTATAATCAGATTGACTTTTTATGTATTTAACAGTTTTAATATCCAATAAATACATCAAATAAAGAAATTACACAGCAAACTCCTTTTTAAATGTTATAAGAAATCATGATTATAAACTCAACACATCTCTATTTTGATCATAACAGATTCAAACAGCCATATCAGTGGTGTTGCATGATTTAGCCCATTAACCTCAAATTGTGTTGTATACATTACCGCCTGTAGTTTTCTATAGCATGTTAGTTTTATTATTTCTCTAGATTGATAACAGAGCTTTTCTAAGTTGTTAACATAGAGACTATAGAAAGAGTTCAAATAAAGCCAACTCAATTCTCTGGAATGGAACTCCCAACATGGAAAGGTGTATTCAACTCAAACAACTGTTAATAATTTAAATATATAAAGCAGCTGTTACACCTTTTCATGGTTCTTTGGTGGCTGGCAGTACCTCCTCAAACAAGCATCCTATATTTACATTTCTTTATTTTTATGTAGTTCATGTATCCGGTAATAATATTTTATTTTTATGATCAAACCGACCAGGTTGGTTGTAATGATCAAATATGTAGAAATAACAACCACAATAGTGTAAAAGGTTTAATCTCTGACTCTAGACCTAACTGCACGTTAACATACAAGGTTTTTGCAAGTAATACTGCAGTTTTTAATGGGTTTCATAAGTAATACAGTGATGACTTGCAAAGACAACAATTCGTGCCTGAACTCCAAATTGAATAAGATGCTGTGATTTGTTTTACTTTCTTACAGTAAAGAGACAACACATCTACTGAAGAAATGGACTCTGGACACACACACACACACACACACACACTGCCTCTCTCTCTCACTCTGCCCTGCCCCCTCTGACCCTGTAGGCTCTCTGCTTGCCTGTAAAGAGCACTGTAGCGCCCAGCAGTCTGTCTGCACCGGAGCTAATTGGCTGCAGCTCAGTGTTCACCGTTAACGTCTCATTACTCATTCCACTCATAATAATAACTTGCACAACTTTGCTTGTGTGCCGGGGTCATTAAAAGTCAAGCAAGCCTTTAATTACAAAGCCGGATCATTCAGTAAGTAAAGTTGCATCTCCCAGCAGGTCTGCAGTGCACTGCATCCCTTATCCACTCCCTTACAAAATTAAAGTGCTCATGAAGCACAGCCGTGGTGATCCTGAAGTAAATGCTGCAAAGATCCAAAGGTCACAGGGAAATTAAAGTGGATCATGGAGGAATAATACTGACAAGACATTAAAACATATTATAAGGTCACTGTAAACTCGCTATTGACTAAAACACAGACACTTTAAATCTCAATAACAACAGCAAAGTTAAAGCCATCACAGGTATCTATAAACTCATTAATTTAAATAGATATTTATATATTAGACTTGTAAATTCTGAACCAACTGTTTCAATGCATGTGCACATCTTTGTCTCATTAAATGCTAATAATAAAATATATATTATGGGATTTACTTGTTTTTAACAGTTCCAGTGACGGTGCGGTGACAGTAAGATCACTACTCTCTCATTTTCAGTTTTATTATTATATCACAACAGCTTTTAACTTGTTTTTTTTTTATTTACTTCTTTTATCTTCTTTCATTTTGGAATAGCTGTTGGAGAGGAAACATTACAATATACACAAAGCTCTGTAGGTTACAGACAAAATAAATCAGATCTGCTGCCTGGATTTTTGACTCATTAGATGAATTAGAAAAAAGTAATAATCTTCAGCCTTTTTAATATATAGGTTACCTTCATTACATTATGGTCAAATTAATTATGATGCAGAGACCTGAGGAAAACACTCATTACTTTTTCTTGAATAATAAAAACAGAAATAACTAAACTCCTGTGGGGCCTATATATATCTATCTATATATACATTCAATTATAAACGATTTAAGGCATCTGATTAAAAACACAACACTCAGGTTCTATGAACATCATATGCGTTTAGTGAAATAATCATTTCTTAATAATTCACTCTGACTAATGTTGCAGATCTGTGGTGAAATATGAGGATCTTTAGTGGAGGCTCCGCTGCGCTAATTGGTACAAGTGCCTCAGGCCAACTCCCATCCAGCAGACTGAGGCAGCATCGTTCACATGCAGGACTGAAAAAGGTAAATTAGAACAGATGACTATATATATATATATATATATATATATATATACCCACCTTTACTTGTGCTATATATATTTCATATGTGTTGTATGTGCTGGTGATAGTCACTGAAGTGAAATAAATTAAACGAAAGGGATCAAAATTCAGATATAATTGCAAAATTGATTTTATACATTGCTTTCAGATGTCAGTGTAGCCCAATAACAGGCTGTCAAATAACTCATGTGTAAATATATTAATATTATTATTATTTATTTATTTTTAATAATGAAGCAATCATATTTTAAGTGCTTTTACAACTTTATTTATTCTGCAATTAAACCACATAACAGCAAAGATTAATGACGCGTGCATGGTGACACAGCAGAACGCGCACGTACGCACGCACGCACGACCCGCTCCCTCGTGCACACCCTCCTCTCAAGAAGAAAGAACAGATTAAAATTATTAAAAAAATAGCAATAAAGCGCAAATAATCCGAATAATTGTTTTTATTTTTTCCTGCAGGGTGATTAAGATGCGTGTTAATTGTAGTGCTGCGGTAAATCTTCACTGCAGAAGAGTCTCATTCAGTAAAAGACGTGCAGCATTAAGTAAGGATTTAAAGTGGGGCACGTATGCAGGGCGACTGTGCAGCATATTGTATCCTGCCTTTAAATCCACAAATATGACCTGGTGCAGCTGCTGGCACATGCAAGCACCCCGTTATGTTAAAGGCAATATGAAATAACTCAAATACTTATTAAACCCTTTAGAAACACACATTTATAGGTAAGGTTTTGTTGATTCAGTCTTGATCCAGAGGAGGAGGTGATGAATTTCAGTCTGATAATCGCTCACCCGGGGCCACGTTTCATTTATTGACAGATTTGATGTTAAATGTCTCAGGCTCACTTAGTGTTGTAGCTCTTAATTTGTAATGTTTGCAGCAGCTCCCTCCTCCTCCTCCTCCTCCTCTCTGCTTTGACCCCGCCGGGTCACGCAGCCAATTCTTTTTTTAAACGCATGATTAATTTCTCAGTAGGGCGACCCGGCTAATGCACGATGGAGAAAAAAAGAAAGTGAAATGTATTCCAAAGGGGCTAATAGCGCTATTGTATTCCAATAAGACCCATTTTCTCTCCTGCCTCGCACGGTTTAGATATGCTCCGCTTCTGATAACATGTCACACGCCTCTTTTTTAACTTGTGCGTCATTTATGCGCTTTAAATGAGTGTCGTTTAAAAACACAGGGAATTCTCCACGCGTGGTTTTAATATGTCAGTCCAGACCGAAGACTTCAGCTTCATTTAGTTCGTGTTCGAATAGAAATCCCGCATATGATTCAAGGAGAGGAAACCCAGGCCTGTCAGCAAACAAAAGAAATCCAGTAAATTAAAAACTTCATAAAATAAGAGAAATATCTTTCAGCTAAATGTAGAAACATAGATTTGGTCAGCAGATACATACAGAGCCGAATGTGTTGGGAAGAAACAATAATAAACTCAACATGTTAAATGGAAAATCACATTGATTTGTACGTATAG